CCCCCTCCTCCGCCCCAGCTGTCGCGGCCCCAGAACCGGGGATCGTCCCCTCAGGCCGGCCCGGGATCCCCGGGGCCCGTGTATTTCTGCAGTCCCCTCTGTAAGGGGTGGGGACAGGAGTTCACTTTTCTGCCTGGCCCGTGGCTCTGGGCACGCAGTGGTGGGAAAGGAGGGGCGGCCCAGCCCCCAGCCAGGTCACCCGGCCAGGTTACAGGCGCACTGGACAGCAGGAAGCCGGGACCTGGGCCTCAGAGGTTCTGGAGCAGCAGGACAGGCAGCGCAGAGCCTGGCCGGGCTGTGCAGCAAGGCCTGGTCACCTCCCAGAAGGAAAACGTCACACAGCAAACACCCACGGACTGTTCCTGGGTGCAAGGTCTCATTCTCCAGTCTTTGTGCTGTTGATTCAGGAATCTTTATCTAGAGTCAGGCGCTTTTACTGGAGGAGACCCGGGCTCGGGGGCGGTAGGAGACCTCACTGCGTAACACCACTTTAAATGGCCCAGCCAGGACCTTCCCCAGTGCACAAAGTGTGAACGAACAGTGTCCCATCCAGCAACTCGGTGTGGTGGATATTTGCATTTAAGATAATTTATTACAGTAAAGAACACATTGCCTTAAATCCCCCTCAAATCCCCCTTTGAAACGGAATTTAACATTCATTTTGTTTTTGTTTGTTGGAGCTGGTTCTTGCATGTAGTTGAGGTTGGCCTTGAACTCTTGTAGCCCAGGCTGGCCTACACTCAGAATGAGTGATCCTCCTGCCTCAGCCTCCCGAGCTCTGGGATTACCGCTACCCCATCTTTCTTGCCTATTTCCCAAGTGGGTCTGGAAGTCCTTTCTCCTGTGTCTTTCTTTAGGTGTGACCAAAAGTAGGGTGAACGTTGCTGCTGAGTGCCACCCAACAGAAACGTAGGCTCATAAACATGTGACACTATTGTCACCCGCCTTGCTCAGTGGATCTGACACCCTGTGACTTCTAGGTCTACCCCTCAGACAAAATGACCACAAAAGGGAAATCAATTCAGGACGTGGACACAGCCAGAGCAGCACAACTGCAGACACTCATGAAAGGGGACCTGCAGAGCTGCTTCAGAAAGTGGCCAGAGACACGGAATAAGTGTGTTTGGAGCGAGGGAGAGCAATTTTTAAATTTTTACTTTTTTTTTTTTCCAGTACTGAGGATCAAACTCAGGACCTTGGCGCTTGCCAGGAGGGCGTGTTGTCACTGAGCTAAATCCCTGGCTTAGGTTTTTAAATATAAGCATTCACTGTACTTTCCCATCCCTCCTGTACAGCTCACTGATTTGAGTGGACTTAGGGCACTGTGGTCATCACTGTGACGGGATCTGTGGATGTGTGGTGACCCCAGAGGCCCTCTTGAAGGGCTCAGCCCACTTCTGAACCTTGGTGGGGACTCCCCTCTGGGAAGCAGCGACACAGGGTGACGGGCAGGGTGCCTGCCTGAAACCCCCAGGCGGGGAGCATCAGCCAAACTTCCGGGCACTTTCTGTCTTCAGCGTCCCCGGTAAGAGTAGAGGGGCGTGTGCGCTGTCACCAGATGGGCAGGCTGGAGCCAGGGCACAGCTCCCCAGTCCCCAGGCAGGGCTGGGCCTCGGCTGACTCAGCCGCCAAGCCTGAATGTGGGTAGGGCATGGGCACCCCAGCAGCGGCTGGGTGTTCCCCAGGAGCTTGGGATGGGAAGAGGACGGACCTGGCTGTTCCTTCTGTTCCATAGGGCTGGTGTGCGGATGCCTGAGGCCAAAGTGAAGCCGCTCCCAGGGCCCCAGTAGCTGGGCAAGACTGGGCCGCAGACGCAGACTCGGTCCTGCCCAGCCCTCGAGGACAGTGGGTCGAGGCCCCGTGGCTCTCCGGTCCCTTCCTTCAGCCCTGCTGTTTCCACTGCTCTCTGCCAGGAGGCTCAGCGGTTTCCGAGGGGTGGGGATCCGGGTTCCCTGAGGCCCCAGAGTCTGTGACATTGCTGGCATCTAGGACGGAGGGGTGGATCACACAGGGGCGTGTAAGGAATCCTGTACCTGGGAGCCCTGTGCCACCGCCCCCAGCGGTCTCTTCACAGGTTGGCTGATGAAGGTGGTTGGTGCCGGGTAGATTTTTCTTGAAGGATTTCCTATCCAGGCCTGGTGTTGCACACTTGTCATCTCAGTACTTGGGAGGCTGAGGCAGGAAGATCGCCGTGAGTTCCAGGCCAGGCTGAGCTGCTTCAGTGAGTTTGAGGCCAGCCTGAACTAGTGAGGCTTTGTCTCAGGAAAAAAAAAAAAAAAGAATAATTTCCTTCCTGTGCACTGCGGTAATTAGAAGACCTCACTGGATGTAATCACAATCCCTAATTAAGCTTTCTTCCCTCCCACAACCCAAACGGAGGGTCTTCAAAGGCCACATAATTGTGCTCCAAATGCCTGAGAAAGCAGAGATGTGAATCTTTGTAAATCCCTCTGATAAGGGGCGCCAGAGAGGGGACTCCTCCCTGCCAGTTTTAGGCACGCCCATATTGGCTGGGGGACTCTGCCTGCTGCCCTGTTCCTCGCAAGGCAGAGTGGCTTCATCACAAACACCTAAGATTTTTTTTTTTTAAGGCAGGGTTTTGCTAGGAAGCCAGTCTGGCCTTGAACTTGTGATCTTCCTGCCTCAGCTTCCCAAGCTGGGATTATAGGCAGAGGGCATCAAGTCTGGCTCAAGACAATTCTTTATTTCTTTTCTTTATTCATTTTTGTTTTGCTTTGAGACTAATATGTAGCTATCCTACACTCAGCCTCCTGAGTGCTGGGATCCAGGCGTACACCACTACACCCAGCTGGGACACTTCTTTAAAATGCAGATTCCTTGGACCCCTCCCCTGGCCTACAAGTCAGGGCCCAGGCCCTGGGTGTCTGCCTTGCTGGGGGGGGGTAGGTTCTTTAGTGAAGCCAGGTTGAAAGTGTAAGGGAACCTTTGTAGTTCCTTATCAGGAAAACCTGAGCGGATGCCTATCTCGGAGTCCCTGGCCCTGGGGTCTCCTGATCCCTGGTCTCAGGCCCAGCAAAAGCATGGGAAGCCGTGAACGCAAGAGCTAAGCATCCTTCAGTTTGCAGGAAGTGGATCTGTGCTTTGTGGGGCGGGGGAGACTTCTGTTTACTCCCAGCCCCTGAGGCGTGCTGTGGCCTCCCACTGTTCAGTATGTGCGCACAGGTGCGCGCGCACACACACACACACACACACACACACACATTATGAAAGCACCTCTCTCCCTGCAGTCACCTTCACCTGCAGACCAGCTCTGGCCACCCTTTCTCTCCCAGCCAGTAAAACAACAGCAATAAGATCGTTGTTATTGTTACCATTTCCTGAACTCAGCCCTGTGCTAAGGACCACCTAGGGCAGTGGTGAGGAACCCAGGGCAGGCCGGCTGCAGCAGGCTGTCTGCTATCACTGAAAGTTCTAAAAGGTCTTCCAGTTGGAGAAACGGATTCCAGAGGCTCAGAAGCATTACGTGGCGCAAAGTCACCACAGCCGGTGGCAGCTCAATATTTATTTGTCTCCTGAGCTCTGCCCCCACCCACCCCTCCCTTTTTGACAGGATGGAACCCAGCACCTATGCCTGTTAGGCAGGAACTCTGCCACTGAGCTGCACTCCCAGACCTCTCCTCATTGTGTGTGTGTGTGTGTGTGTGTGTGTGTGTGTGTGTGTGTGTGTGTGTTTTGTTTTGAGACAGAGTCTTGCTAGGTGATCCAGGCTGGTCTCAAATTCCCAGCAACTGTCCTGCCTCAGCCTCTCCAGCGCTAGGATCACAGAGGTGTGCCCCCATGCCCGGCTCTCCTGGGAAGATTGGATGGGCAGGTTGGGCACGAGTCACCTTGTCCCACTGTTCTGGACACCAAGCAGCCAGCCTACCTGGGAAGCGGAGGCCTTGTGTGCTGTGCCGGCCCTGCCAGTACCCACTCAAGGTCCTTTCAGCTGCCCTCCCCAAGGCTCTTCCCCTGCTGTCCTCTCCTCCCCTGCTCCCCCTGTTCCCTCTGCCCCCAGCCCGGGGCCAACCTTCAGTGGCTCCCTCTGCCCTTTGACAAAGGTCTCTCTGCACTTGGATCAGGCCTGCCGGGGCTTGCTGGGACAAACTGGCCTTTGCCGGTCTGCTCCTGTGGACCTGCTAATTAGAAGAAAGGGCCTCATTAAGGTCATTTGTGGGTTACATTCACACGGGGTCACCCTGCTGCTCCCCTGTGTGGCAGGGGCTCCCCCTTGGGACCTTGCAGCACCCTCTTACTCCTGTGAAGAGGTAGGAAGTTGGGTCTGTTGGGGTCCTGGTGGAGGAGACATCAGACTCCCCAGACTGAGACCCCACCCTCCCAGGACCTGGAATCCGATCGGACCTCTGCCGATCAGACCTCTGCTGGGTGTTGAGGCCCCTGGCAGGGTCAGTAATTATCCCCACTACATGTGGGGAAACCAAGCCTGACAAAGAGCCCACACTTGCCAGGCGCTGCAGACCTGAGCAGGGTGTGTACACAGCTAGAAACCCGAGACCCGTCCCCTCCCTCTGCAGGTTCAAGCTCCAGACACGGGAGATCTGAGGGAAGAGACAGGGTCCCTCCCAGTGTCCTTGCCATGCTGGCTGTGACCACTGGAAATTGGATCCTAGAGTCAGGTAGCTGAGCAGGAGATATAATCTCTCTGAGCCTTGGTTTCCTTGTCTGTAGATTGGGAATGAAAAGACTATTTTCCTGTGAGGTGTGGTGGCTCGTGCCTGTAACCCCAGCCATGCAGGAGGCTGAGGCAGGAAGATTACAAGTTCAAACCTATTCTGGGTTAAGTAGGCAGGCTCTGTCTCAAAATAAAGACCTGGGCCTGCCTGTCCCGGGAGGAGCTGGAATCTAGGTCCAGCCCCTCCCGCTCTGGGCCGCTGTGTCCCCAGTGTGAACACTCCAAATGATCCCTGTCACCTGGGTGCAGGTGCTCACTGGAACTTGGATGTGGCGTGAGCTGATGTGAGCTCGGAGCCCAAACTCGGGGAGGGATGCAGGGTGGGGCAGGGATGAGAGGACAAGGGTGACAGTGAAAGAAGCCACCCCCAGTGTAGAGCAGCAGTTGCCTGCTAGGCACGTTGCTTACATTCTCCGTGGTTTGTCTCATCGTCCCCCGAGCCGTCCACCCTCAGGGACCACGGTCACGATGACAAAGACGCGGAAACAGGCTCAGCCGCATAGGAACACCCCAGGGCAGGGGAACTGGGGTCCCCAGGTGGACACAGGAGGCAGCGCCCACTGGTGGGACCCAGGATCATTTTGGAAGTAGATTTTGAACTTCTGGCAGCTCTAGTTTTTGGTGTGAGGGTGGATGAAAACCTTCCTGCAGGGCGTGATTCTTAGGAAGTCTGCAGGAGCCCTGTGCTCATCCGGTCCGCATGGGGACTTGATGGGGACAGAGCTGGTACTGTTTACCGTCGTTGGTTTGGGAGATGGACTCTGAGCTAGATTGACCTGTTGGCATCAAGGCCTGGAATTAAGTGCTTTTTTGAATTCAGTACTAGGGATTAAACTCGGGGCCTTGGCATTGAGCTACATCCCCAGAGCTTTATAAAATTAAAACCCCCGTTTTTTGGGTTTTTTTTTAATTTTAAAATTTTGACAGAGGGTCTTGCTAAATCACTAAGTGCCAGGCAAGACTTGAACTTGCAACCCTCCTGCCTCAGCCTCCCAAAGTACCGTACTGGAATTACATTTTGGGATGCCATCCCCAGCTTCTAGTGGTCTCTCCACAGGAATGTGGTCCATGGGGCACAGGATTGGCTCCCAGGACTTCTCTCCTAGGCTGCAGTAGGGCTTCGGGATTTAGCTCAGTGGTGCCATCAGCTGCCTCGCAAGTGCAAGGACTCAAGTTCAGTCCCCCGTACCAAAAAAAAAAAAAAAAACCCAAAAAAACGGCTGCGGATTTAGCTCATGGTTCTGCTGCCTGCCTCCTAGGCTGCAGTGGCCCCAGTTCTCTGGAAATCCCTCTCTTTGTCTGGAAGCTCCTGGGTCTTGGTCAGGGCCACCTCTGTGACCTGTGCACGTGGTGAGCAAAAGCAGCCAGCGTCGCGGTTCAGAAGGGTCCTGTGGTGGGAAGGGGACACAGGACTTTACAGGTGCCCAGGTCTCTGGGACAGGGCCCTCTCTGCCACCCTACCCTCTTCCTCTGCCCCACCTCCTCATCTGGGAGAGCGGTCTGCTGCCCAGAAGGGCCCACTCTAGTGTCACCAACCCCGTGACCCAGTTCCATTACTCCCATAGCAAAGTCCCCAGGCTTGGCCTCTTGTTCTAGCTTTGTCCTTGACTTTGAGGGGAGAAAGGCCCAGCCTGGCCTGGAGGACGTACCGATGGTGGCCCTCCCGGGGTGGCATCTGACCCTGTGGGACAGGCAAGGCAGGAGAGGCCCTGAGGCCTGGCCGGTTCTAGCCACACCTCCCTTGTTTCCTTTTTTGGGGGAGAGGGCTTAAAACAACACATTTATTATCTTACAGGGAAGTAGGGCTCCAGGCTGGACCCAGGCAATGGCCAGGCTCTGCTTCCTCAGCCTCACTGTCCCTTGCTGCCCACCCCACAGCTGTGCCCCAGGGGATGGCTGTGTGCTTAGAATCTGGGCCACCACCTGCAGGAAAGTGATGGGGTCTCCCTGGGCCCCAAGACGCTGGAGTTGTGGGGTTGATGTCCCTGCAGTTGGTTCCATCCTGGTCCTGACCCTGCCCTGCGAGACTTTGGGTGGCTGTGTCACCTCCCGCCGCCCCTAGTGTTGCTGGAGGCCAAAGCCCGGCCTCCTCCACCCCACAGTATCCGTGGGTCACAGCCGTCTCACTCCCAGTTGTCTCTGGTGAAACTGGGGTCCCTCCCTGTGGGGACAGGGGGCACATGGTCAGGCCCTTCAGGGAGACCCTGGCACTCATACTTAGCGTCAGGCCTTGGGCAAATCATTTGACCTTGTATCTCAATTTCCTCATCTGTTACAGAGCGATTTTGAAAATGGAATTTTTGTTTGTTTTTTGAGACAGGCTCTCACTGTGTATGTAGCCCAGGCTGGCCTGGAACTCACGGCGACCCTTCTGCCTGAGCCTCACGAGTGCCTGGCATGGCTCATTATTTCTCTAGCGTTTCCACCTTGCCAGGCTGCTCAGTTGTGATTAGGTATGCCCAAGAGTAGTGGGCATCGACGTGGAGATAACTCAGCATCAGGCAGGGGACCTGGGACCCTGGCAGGTAAAGATGAGAGGAGGTAGGCAGGTTGTCTGGCAGCACCCAGGCCATTGTGCTGCTGTCCCTGCTGTCCCCACCCAGTCTAGTCCACGTCCTCCACTCTGGAAGTGCCCCCAGTGGGCGCTCCTTGCTGGGCTGTCCTTTCTGGTCGGGCCAAAGCTGTACCTCATGGTCCCTTCCTGCGCCCGACCAGGCCGACCTAAATGCTCACACCTCCCGGTAGGGCCCTCTGCAGAAGTGGTGCCCTGGTTGCTCCCTGGAGCCTCCTGTCACACCCGAGGCCCAGCAGTCAGGACACTGCCCAGTACCCCCGACGGGCCCGGCCTGTTGGACACGTTCCGTGGCTTCCCTGCGGTCTCCTCCTGAGCAGGGGACTCAATGAGCCGAGCTCCTTCAGTGCTCCCGAGACGCCCTGAGTGAGACAGGGTGGGGGCCAGGCCGGCCCTTCCTACAGCAGTCCTGGATCTGGTGCCATGCCGCCTCCCCCAGCACACCCCAGGGGTCCAGTGGCCTTGGTCATCCTGTCCTGCGCACCCCGGGGTGTTTGGGCCGGAAGGGTCCAGGAGACAGTTGGGACCTGTGTGCTGTGCTTGTCCCTGATTAGGTCAAACACTTGGGGAAACTGTGCCCTTTCCCTCTCCGAGGTGAGCCCGGCCTGAAGCTCTCTGGTCCCACCCGGAAGTTTGCCGTGGGACAGAAAAGGCTCAGGACCTGTCTGTGGACTGGTCAGGAGGAGACCCCAGGAGCAAGCCCACAGTGCCGCCCCAGTGGTCCTGTTTGCACACACACCCTCCTTAGAATTCTTTTTGTTTGTGGGAGACAGTCTCAAAATGTAGCCCAGGCTGGCCTCAAAATTGGGCAATCCTTCTGCCTCAGCCTCCCAAGTGCTGGGGTCCCAGGCACGCGCCACCATGTCCGGCTCCATCAGGAGGATCTTCCTGTGTCAGAGGGGCTTAGCGGAGTTGGGTGGGGAGTCTGCCAGGTCTGCTTCCTTACTGAGAACTGCAGGATGCGTAAAGTTGGTGGCCAGATGTCTGCCTTTGTTCCCAGCTCATGGTGTCCCCTTGCTCTGCCCTGCAGATGGGATCTGTTACGGGGACGCTCGATTCGACACCGTCAGCGAGTCGGGAACGGCCACACTGAAGGCCCGGCCCCGCGTGAGGCCCCTGCTGACCTTCCTCCCTCTGGTGAGTACGGCCCCACCGTGCACCAGGTCCCCTTGCCCGCCCGGCTCCTAGTCGCCAGCCTCACCAGTGCCACTCCCCGCCTTACTGATGCCAGCAGGCGGCTCACACAGGATGGCTGGAATTGGGGTATCGGCTCCTCCCTGGTGAACCCCAGGAGGCACCTGGGGGTGGCACCCAAGCTGCCAGCTGTGAGCGGTGATCCTGGGGGCCACTTGGAAGAGGTGGCATCTGAGCTGCCACACAGGACAAACATCAGTGAGCCCTGGGAGGGGGCGCTTGTGACAGTTTTGCACCGAGTCTAACACCACAGGAAATGAGACGCTGTCCTGCGGCTGGGCTTTGGTTCTGGAGGAAAGAGGCAGGAAGCAGCTGTCCTCCGGCAGGTTCTATTGATCGTGTGCGGCACTCCTGGGCCCGGGGACCTCTAGACTGGGCGTTGGGGAAACGGGGTGCGAGCACACGGCACGTCCACATTGCCTAGTGGCCGTGTTAAAAGGAAAAAGATGTGGGGCTGGCAACTTAGCTCAGTGGTGCCGCTGCCTGCTTTGCAAGCACAAGGACCCGAGTTTGCTCCCTGGTACCAAAACAATAAATAAATAAATAGTGAAAAACAAAAGGGGGGATTTGGCTCAGTGGCACCGCGCCTGCCTTGCAAGTGCAAGGTCCTGAGTTTGATCCCTGTACCACAAAAAAAAACCCAAAAGGACGTAGGCAACATCGGGTGGGTGTTTTGGTCACTAGGCAGTAGAGCAGTTGCTCAGCATGTGTCAGACCTTGGCTTCTGTCCCCAGTGCCACAAAAATAAACAAATAAAGAAAGAGAAATAGGTCAAATAGCCCCAGTAACTGGTCTGTGTTTTGGTAAGAGGGATCGAACTCAGGACCTTGCACTTGCATGGCAAGCGCGGTGCCACTGAGCTACGTCCAACCCCCTTTCTGTTTACTTGTTTATTTATTTAAATTATTTATTTATTTTTTGTTACCAGGGATCGAACTTGGGTCCTTGTGTATGCAAAGCAGGCAGTGGAACCACTGAGCTAACTCCCTGGCCCTTATTTTTTTTTTTTTCCGGCTTTTTTAAATATTGGAATTGAACCCAGTGCCTTTACACTGAGCTACATCCTCAGCCCTCCTTTATTTATTTTTTTATTTTGAGACAGTCTTACTTAGTTGTCCAGGCTGGGCTCTAACTTGTGATCTTCCTGCCTCAGCCTCCCAGAGTGCCACCACACCCAGCTCAGATTAACTTTACTAATATGTTTTACTTATTAACCCAATAGATTCAAAAGATTATCATTTCAGTATTCAGTCAGTATAAGAACAGTAGTGAGGTGTTTTACATTCTCTTTTCATACTGTGTCTTCATAATCCGGAGCACTCCTTGGGGTGTCAACAGCCAGCCTCACAAAAGTGGGCTCGATCCTGCCTCAGATGCCGGCCTGGGCAGAGGCAGTGCTGTCCCTTTGGCCTGGCCACAGCCTGAGCTCATGACACCCGGTAGGCTCCAAGGTGGCCACGCCGTGGTCCTGAGCGCCACACATTTTGCCCAGCATGGCTGGACACAGCCCTCTGCCCCTTTTCCCCATCACTGTGTTTTGCTAACTCTGCCCGCCAGGTCCAAGATTGCGCACAAGGCCGTCCCAGTTTGATTTTCATCACGCCACCTCCCTCAGGGCTCTGGGAACATGACCTGAAACCCTTTCTTTTCTGCTTGTAAAACAACTCCTGGACATTACCGACAAATATAGACAGAACCACACCAAGCCAAGCGTGGTGGTGCACGCCTGTCCCCACAGCACTCTGGGAGACCAAGGCAGGAAGGATCGAAACTTCAAACCCAGGGCTGGAGATGTAAATCAGTGGTTTTACCACTTGCCTTGCAGGTGCAAGGTCCTGAGTTCGATCCCCAGTACCCCCCACCAAAAAATCAAGCCAAGCCCAGGCACCCCCGTGACTGTGTGAAACCTGTCTCAAGGCCAGGGCATAGCTTGGTGGTGACCACCCGTGGGTCTCAAACCCAGCACGAAGAGATACAAAGTCAGCCTCTACCTCTGATTCCAGAGATGCCCAGAACTGTACACGCCGATAAAAGGACTGTGCCCTGTTCTACTTCTGCAGCTGACTCCCGTTCCCCCTCCCCTCAGTGCTCGTGCCCAGAACACAGTAGGACGTGGCGGCATCAGCCCAGGGCAGATGTAGCCCATCCCCCGCTCAGCCTCTCATTTTGGGGTGACTGAGGACCAGGCTGCTCCTTGAGGATCCCCCGCAGTGACTTCCTATTGGAAGGGGGGAGGCCCTGATGGCTCACCTGGGTCCCCTTAAGCTCTGCTCTTCCCATGCCCAGACCACCCCACCTTCCTGCACCCCACACTTGACAGCCAGGGGACACTGAGGCCCAGGGAGGCGAGCTGGGAGTCCTATTCCCTGCAGGCCTGGGCCCAGTGAAGGGGGTGTCCTTTTCTAGCCCAAGCCTGGTCTGTGCCACTGTGACCCTCTCTCTGGGGCTCCCCTGGGGACCCAGCCATCCCCAGCATGATGTATGGCAGGAATTACAAACTAAATACCCATGTGGTAAATACAGGAAACTGGCTGAACGGGTCCCCAGGGTGCCCGGGGCCATGAGAGCTCCTTGGGTCACCCCACCCTCTGAGTCAGCCTTGCCTGGCTCTGCCCAGGAGACTCCCTGCTGCTGCCGCCTGGGAGTTATAGGAACAGCTGAAGTCAGCACCTCCCTTTGTCTCCCCACCCTCCTGGGTGAGCCCAGACTCCTTGGGTGGGGGCGTGAGCCAGGCAAGGTTGTGTTTTTATTTAATCTTTTATGTTTTGGGTTTTTTGAGGCAGGATCTCACTAAGTAGCTCAGATTGACCTTGAACTCACTGTGTAGCCCAGGCAACCCTCCTGCCTCAGCCTCCCTAGTTCTGAGATCACAGGTGTGCTGCTCCACTCTGGGCTATGGAGACCATGACTCCAGGGTTTTAGCTGATCTGTGTGGGGGTGGATTGGAGGGAAGGGTTAGGGATGGGGCAGCAGAGGCCAGCAGGAAGAGTGAATAATGTTGGGCTCCCAGCCCCTTCCTTAGCTGCCTGGCTTTATCAGGGTGAGGCCTCAGCCTGAACCTCCAAAGCTGTTTGCACCCATCCTTACCCAGACAGCTGCTCCTTGGCCACCCCGTGGCTCTGTGGTGAGGACCACGGCGGGAGCCACAGAAGAGCCTGGGATTTAAGCCGGGACCGCTGTTTAGGAGGGGGCAGGGCTCCAGGGTGGCCTCTCGACCCCACTGACTCCTACCCTGGAGAGGGGCACAGCTGGGCTCCCACACCCCCATAGCGCAGGGCCCAGCAGGGTCTAGGGACCCTGGGTGGCTGGTGAGTGGCGCCTTCTCCAGCGGTGGCCATGGGGTCCTCGGGTTCTTTAATGAACACGCCCGCTGGCTCCCAGCTTCCCAGGAGTTCCGAGGGGCAGAGCCCGTCTCTGATGACTTCATCAAGCTGAGGACCTGGGAGTGAGGGAAGGAGTTGAGGCCCCCTTCTCAGGCTGCACGGTGCCCCCGCTCTGACTCCGCAGCAGGGTCCCCGCCCTGTGCCCCACTGCTCACACCCCACCCAGAGGGCTGGACTGGATGGGAGGTTTGCATTCCCCGCTGTGCAGCCACCTCAGACCTGGCCAAGGCCCAAGGTCAGCCATGCACCATGCAGCACCCACTGGCCGGGCCCTGGGGACCCACCCTTGAGGCTTGGCTGGGCTCCGAGGAATCGCGGGCAGGACACGGGGGGGGGACGACGACACGGAACGGACAGCAGGCTCCCCTCCCCCATGGTGAGTGCTTCCTCCTCCTCCTCCTCCTCAGCCTGGGAATGGTACTGATTCCTGTCTGTCCCTGACCCTGGGGGTGCCCCATCTTCTCAGTCCAACCAGACAGATGCGGGGGGGGGGACACCCGAAGACTCTGGGCCTCTGCTAACCCGTGGGGGAGGATGAGGCAAGCACCCAGCCCCACAGTCCTGTGCCACAGGCCCCTTTGTCACAGCAAAGCCAAGCCTGAGGCAGTGTCCCATTCCAGAGAGAGGGCTAGGCCGTCTGGTGGGCACTGACTGTGTTGGAGAGAGAGACAGACAGAGGTGAACCCAGGCAGAGACCTCTGAGCTGCATTCACAGCCCCAGGAACTATGCCATTTCTATCTATCTATAATCTATCTAGCTATCTATAATCTATCTATCTATTTATTGAGCCAGGCTCACACCATGAAGCCCAGGCTGGCCTCCAACTCCTGGCAACCCTCCTGTCTCAGCCTCCTGAGTGCTGGGATTACAAGTGTGCCCTACCATGCCTGGCTACAATCTTAGACGATGAGTTTAAGATTGCAAATCTGGTCTATTGACTCTGAAATTAATGTTCCTTACACTCAGCCACCATAATTTTAAAAATTATAATTGCAGGGCTGGGCATTTAGCTCAGTGGTTCTGCTGCCTGCTTCGCAAGCACAAGGACCTGAGTTCAATCCCTAGTACAAAAAAAATATAATTGCATTGGGTGGTCTTTTTAAAATTACGAATACAATCGTTTGTTGTTAAGGACTGAGAACTAGGGACTGGGCTTTTCTCCACCCATGGGAGATTTGCATGTGAGCCCTGTGGGGCGGCCTTAGCTTCCGGGTGTTGTACTGTGTGGGGATAAAGGAAGTGCCGAGACCCAGTTTCGCCAGGCTCCGTCCTGCAGGGCCAGCTCAGAGGGTGGGAGTGGCCATGACGGTGGCCGCCTGATGCTCCTCTCCCTGCCCATATTTGGCTGCCACCCTCAGAGGCCACACCTGCCCTGAGTGTCTGCAGCACAGGTCAGCCCCCTCCCGGCCCCTGCCCAACATTTGCTCAAGGCACAGTGCCACCAAGGCAGGGTGCTGGGCCAGGCCAGGCCACCTCCCTGCTGACAACAGCAGGTCGAAGGTGAGGCCCCCAGTGACCTCCAGGCCAGCCTGTGACTCTCCAAAATGCAACTTTCCATGCCAGGCAAGGTGACACACGCCTGTAATCCCAGCTCTTGGGGCTGAGGCAGGAGGATTGCTGTGAGTTTGAGGCCACATATAGCAAGACCCTGTCTCAAAAAACTGAAGAAATATGCAGCCCCCCACCTGCTTCCCCTTTTCCTCTTGGGAGCCAGACAGGCACCCAGGCCTAGTGGCAGTGACTGTCCCTGCACCCTGCCTCTGGGGGTGGCCCAGAGAGTCCAGGTCACTACCCACAGCGCAGAGGGGAGCAGGTCACAGAAGGAACACCGTGGTGAGCTGATCCTAGGAGCATGTCCAGCCAGGGGCGGGAAACTGAGGCCCAGAGAGAGGCGACCTCAGTCTGAGTTCACTGGCGGCCGAGCTGGCCGCAGAGTCCGCACTTCTGTCTGGTGCGCTGCATTCTTCCTACTCACATGGCCCAGCGGGGTCTGTTCACTCGGCACACGTGTGTTGGGTCGCCCAAAGAACCACCGCCCTGACCCCCTGACACCAGCAGGAAGGGGCGGGCTCTGGGGTCCCCACATTGGCTCTGCCCCTGGTTAGCTGTGTGACCTCGGATAATGTACTCAGCCCGTCTCTGCCTCAATTTCCCCATCTGTATGATCAAAACAATAACCTATCTCTTAGGTTCCTGTGAACTCTGACGGGGACTCAGAGTGGTGCCTTGTATGCAGTAGGGGTCTAATAAGTGTCAGCTTATTAATAAGAGCAGTGGCACGGGGCTGGGGACTCACAGGGGACAGACGCAGAGCAGGGCGGAGGCCAGGAGGTCCCCGGAGGCCGTGTCCGTCCATCTGTCCATCTGTGAGTGAGGGGCTGAGGACAGGCTGTGCTTGGGGGAAGCAGGAAGGGACTCCGGGAGTGACCGGCAGACCCGGGCTAGGGTGGGGCCTTGGGTGCGGCAGCCTCTGCGCCTCAGTTTCCTCTTTTGCAATCAGGTCCAAAAGGACCGAGCTCACACAGGAAGTGGGGTTGGGGTGGAAGGGATGGGTCTGCTCTGGGACACAGAGCCGGGTTCCAGCAGCTGCTGCTGCGATCTGATGCGGGTGGGAGCAGGGCGGGGCGGCACCTGTCATGAGCCCTTGCACTTTTTCTTCGGATGATCTTCGTTTTTGTTTTTTTTTTTTGGTACTGGGGATTGAACCTAGGGCTTTTACACCAAGCTACATTGCCAGCTCTTTTTCATTTTGGACAGGGTCTCCCTAAGTTGCTAAATTGAGCAGGCCAGGCTTACGATTCTCCTGGCTCAGCATCTCAGAGTGCTGGGATTATAAACATTTTTTAAAGCAACTCTGGGGGTTGAAGTCACACATACTACTGGGCAAGTTCATTACCATTGAGCTATATCCCTGACACTACTTTTTTAAAAAAATGTATTATATATATAATAAATTTTACCTTTGCTTGGTTTTTTGAGACAGGGTATCACTGTATAGTTCAATCTGGCCTTGAACTCATTATGTAGCCAAGGCTGGCCTCAAATTCATGGAGATCCTCCTGCCTCAGCCTCCCAGGCAAATTTACCATTTGAAACATTTTGAAGTGTACAATTTAGTGGCATTAGGTATATAACTTTCTTTTTAACTAACCCTAGTAAGTAGAAGAGTTGCAAAGAATCCCCTAGCCACCTCATGGGGAGGGCCTGCATTTTGTTACATTGTTTTATTTCTTCTTTTTTTACACGTACTTTGTTTCTTCCCGAAGGCCTGAAGAGTAAGTTGAGACATTGTGTCCCTTTATTCCCAATAATTCAGTGTGTGTTTCCATCCCCTGGGACAGATCTGCAACATTGGAGAAAGCAGTGTTGACACAACAATGTTATTACTTAGTCCACTGTTTTGTGTTCAGTTACTGGGAATTGCCCAGTAATGCCCCTCCTGGTACAGGAGCAGGGCTCCAGGATCCTAGACAAGATCTTACCTACACCCCTCTTTTTTCTTTGAAACAGGGTCTCCCTCTTTAGTTCAGGCAGGTCTCCAACTCACAGGAATCTTCCTGCCTCAGCCTCTTGAGTGCTGGGATCACCAGTGTGGGCCACCACGCCCAGCCCAAGCCCTCTTGTTAGTTCATTATTATTGTTTCACTGTTACTGTTGGGACAGAGACTTGCTGTGTAGTTCAGGCTGGCCTTGAACTCACTAATCAAGCCCTCTTCTTTGTTTTTGCTTTTGGTAGGGGTGATGGAACTCAGGACCTTACGTTTGAAAGGCAGGGAGCAGAACCACTGAGCTAAATCCCCGGCCCCTCAAGCCCTCTTCTTAGTGATGATTCTCCTCAGTTCTCAAAGTGGAAGGAGGAGGGCAGGACACTGACATTGTCCGCATCTACAACGTCACCACCTGGACCAGCACGCTGATGTCACCTGTTTGGGTCCCCCTAAGCAAGGGCATGCTTACCTTCTCAGGCTGCCTCTGTGGAAGGAACATTTAAATGCGTTTGGGTCAGCCTGGCCGTTCCCATGGGTAAGGCTGCCCGGTACCACTGAGCTCAGGTCCAAGCAGGAGATGCCAGGCCAGGCCCGGGTCCACTGGGACTGTTCAGCGTGGCCCCCCAGATCCCAATCAGATGAGGCTGGGCTCCGGGGCCTTGAGCACTGTGCTGAGGTGGTAGGTATGGCCTGGGGCCCCTCTTGTGGGTGGAGGGAGCTCTGCCTGAGTTTAAGATGGACTTCCTTCCTGCGTTTGCAGAGTGCTTTAAGATCAAAAGGGAGGCTGTAAGCCAGGTGCAGTGCTTGCTTAGCATGTGCAAGGCCCTGGGTTGCATTCCTAGCACCCCACAAGTAAAAGCAAAAAAAAAAAAAATCAATCAAGGCTGGGTGTGGTGGTGCACACCTGTAATCCCAGCTACTCAGGAGGCTGGGACAGGAGGATCACAAACTGAAAGGCAGCCTGGGCAACTCAGTGAGACCCTGTCTCAGAATGCGAAATGCAGGGGTGAGGATGGAGCTCAGCAGTAGAGCACCCCGGATTCCATCCTTGGTCCTGCAAAAACAAGCCAAAAAAAAAAAGAGTTGAGGAAATGCGGGGGCGGGGAGTGAACTCTGGGCTGTGAGCTCCTACCACCCCTCCTGCATGACTGTTACCAGGGGAGCTGGGGAGCTGCTTCTAGGACTTGGGGATCCTGGCTTTGATGGTTCAGTTTTTCCACCTTGTGGGGGACAGGGTAGGAACAGTTGAACCTCCACCACCTGGTTCTGGGCCAGGGATATTAGGGCATTTGTTCCTCTCGAGTCCTGCAGAGCAGGAAACTGTATCTCTGCTCTCATTTGTTTTTTTGGCTTTTTGAAACAAGGTCTTACTAGGTAGTTTAAGCTGGCCTTGAACCTGCCTCAGTCTCCTGAGTGCTGGGGTCACCACACCCTGCTCTAAGATGACATTAGTCCAGCTGTTGTGTTGGCACACGGAGCGAGTGTGAATGCGAACAGCGTCGCTGTCCCATCCTGTGTGTCGTCTGCCCATCCAGGGTCACACCTCTAGCAGAACTGAGCAGGTCTTTGACCTGAGCCCCGAGTCCTTCCACTTCCGGTCTAGCCCAGGGAGGCACCAGGGACCTCAGCTCCCATCCTGAAGGCCCAGCGGGCTCCCGGTCAGCATCAGGGCGCAGGGCCCTGTAAGGGTCACTAGATGGCGATCTGCATGTGTGTGGTGTTGGGGTCTCCATGGCCCAGGCCCCTGTCCCCTGGCTCTGGGTTTGATGTGCGTTTCCCCATGTGAATCAAGTAGAGGCAGTAAAGGATGAGATCATGCTGTGAGGCTGTTCCAGCTTCAGAGTTGTTTTTGTGGGTTTTTTTTTGTTTTTTTGAGACAGGGTCTCACTATGTAGTTGAGGCTGAACTGGAACTCACGATGTAGCCCAGACTGGTCTTGAACTCACTCCTGCCTCAGCCTCCCAAGTGCCAGGATTACAGGCGTGCGCCACCACGCCCGACTCAGAGTTGTTTTAAGAAAGGAAAACTGAGGGCTGGGCATGGTGACAAAACACCTGTGATCCCAGCACTCAGGGGCTGCAGAAGATCTCCTGAACTACGTAGCGACACTGTCTTACCAAAACAAGACAAACCTGTAGTTTTAAAAGGAGCAGGGACTGGGGATGTAGGTCAGCGCGAAGGAAAAAGAAAAGGATCTGGGGAGAGGACCCCAGCCACCCACCTCCAGCATCCAGATGCTGTCAGACTCCAAGTGTGGTCACAGGTAGTGGCCAGGCTGGAGTGCGAGACAGGAGTGATGGGTGTGTGGGTAAGAAAAGCTGGCTGGGAGGGAAGGCGCGGCCGTTGAGAGCCGGAAACGCTCTGCCACTCCTCACAGGGACAGGTGTGCAGACTTTGTTGACACTGGCACTGTCCGTCTAGGGAGAGGAAACAGAATCGGGTGGCCCGGCCCGGGCAGCTGTGCACACCTGCGGCCTGGCCTGCAGAGGTTAGAGATCAGCTCTTCATCTGGGGCCACCTGGATGTTCCTGTGTCCGCGCACTGGTAGTTGCAGACTCGGTGCCTGCAGGCTGGCCTGGTGGCTGGACTTGATGTCTAAGTCAGGATCAGTAGTCCCAATGCTCCGTGGCCACCAGGCTCAGAGCAGTGACAGTTCCGCGTGAGTGTGGATGTGTTCTCTCCTTTCTGCTGTCAGTACATGAGCTGTGGTCCTTCCCTACTTAGCATCACTCTTTCAAATGTCTTTGTCTCTAAACACAGCACGAGACAGGTTTATGCGTTGCCCAGGGGTTTGCGGGAGCCCAGCCCCGAGTGTCTACTCCCCACCCAGGGAGTGATCCAAGGCAACCGTATGCCCAGGTCCACCTTTGTGAATTCACTGTTCAGGTGTTGGTGAGCACACCCAGGCCATCCTGCAGGGTTTGAGGCATACTATGGCCTCAACTGCAGTGATCGGAGAACGAGTTATCTCTCCTTTCCCATACCCAATCTCGCTCTGATCCTTTTCAGAATGCCCAGGAGAACCATGGGCTGGCTGTGCCGACTCCCTCTGTCCCTGAAGATTTTGCAGGCAAAGATGTGGCAGGTAAGAGGACTCTGGGGCTGAGGTTTGTCCATCTTGCTGTCGTTTCTCCTTTGGCTCTGAATTCAAAAGCTAGGTAGGCATGGAGCTAGGCATGGTGGTGCACATCGGTAATCCCAGCACTCTGGGAGGCTGAGGCAGGCAGATCCCAAGCCATAGACATCAGACAATCCTGGTTGTGAGCCCAGCTCCCCCTACTGGCTGTGCTTGCCTGGGTTTGTGACCCCACCCCTCACACCTCTCCCTTTTGGGGGCATCAGTGCCTACCGGAGAGAGGTAATTCACTTGTCACACCTCTGCTCAGCTCCGGCCAATAACTTCCTGTGTCACTCAAAGGAAAGGCCTTGAGGAGCCACCAGGGTCTCGCCTGTGACCTGCTTTCCGCCCCTGCCCCTCAGTCCCCTTACCTGTAGATGCACCACACTCAGCCTTGACGGTGGCTGCCCCTGCCTGGAAGGCTCTACTGGACACCAGGCCGGTCTCTCCCCCTCCCCCTGCCGCGACACCTCCAACAGGGGTCGCCAACCACTCTCAGCTCTGGCCTTATTGGTTTCCCCCCAACACACGTTCCCATGGTGAGGATTTACTAACCTGCGGGGCCTGCTGTCTCTGTCCCCGGAACTACACACTGGAGAGGGTGCCAGCACTTCTTCATTTTGTGTGGCTGCTGGTGCTTTGTTTCTTACTGTTGCTTTCCATTTTTGGTTTAGTTTGCTTCGTACTGTGGATCGAACTCAGGACCTTGTGCTTGCCAGGCAGGTGCAACACCACTGAGCTAAATCCTGGCCTATTTTGTTTGTCTTTGAGACAGTCTCACTGGGCAGCCCAGGCTGGCCTGGGACTCGTGGTGATCCTTCTGCCTCAGCCTCCTGAGTGCTGGGATCAAAGGTGTGCGCCCCCACACTCTGGCTGGTGCGTGTTCCCTGCTGTGTTCCAGCTCCGAACTCGGAGCCTGGTGCCTGGGCGCCCTGTGCCTGTCCCTTCCCACACTTCCCTGCTCTGTCAGGAGCCCCCACCTCAGCCCAGCTCGTCAGGGTCACCTGTCGCCGCTCTCACCTTGCTCAGAGAAGTTAAGCACAGCCAGGGGCAACCCCAGCCCTGTGCCCAGCAGACAGGGGACATCTTGGCCTCTCCTTTCTTTCAGATGGCAACTCCCTGGTCAATGGCAGCCTCCGGCTCTACAGCTCTGTGGGGGACCTGAGGCTGGAGCACTCTGGCCTGGATCCGCTCATCCCTCCACCTCCACCAGGCCCAGCCCCCGGGCCACCCCAGGACTTCCCACAGCCCCCGGGGGAGTCCCCGCCACCACCACCCCCTTCCAC